ACGAGCTGTATTGAAGAGACACGGACAAAAACTAGAAGTTTGATCAGTATTCTTTAAGCAGTTTGCAACTGGAGGACCGATGGACGATGAGAAGCGAACTCCTAGTACCCACTTTTTGCAGAGAATGCGCTTAATAAAACAGGCAGCAAATAAACACAGACCTGTATCGTTCGTGTTAATCTACACCTCAGAATTTATATCCTTGTGGCTTCCTTTAAGAACACGATCGATATAAGCGTCAGTCAAGGATCGAAAATTACCTCACCGATCATTAACAAATGTTAATGTATTAATATATTATATCAACACGGAGTAAATAACATGGGAATATTGACAACTACATAATAATATGTTTTATTTTGAACGATTCATATATTTTATGTTAGGGTGATTAAATTAAGGAGCAGAAAACCAATAAATGGATATAAAAGTGTATTAGAAATCCTGATGGAAAATTGCGATTAGGAGATACAGATTTAGATGAGATGATAATATTAAAGTGGATAATTGGTCTATGAAAGTGAGGACTAGATTCAGATAAGTCAGTATGGGATAAAACTGCAAGCTTAAAATAGGAACATGAACATTCGGACTGCATAGAAATGTTAAATTTATTGAAAATAAGAATAACAATCAAATTTTCAAGAAAGACCCTACACCACTGAATTGGTATAATTGTTTTTTCTTACTTATTTACTTGTGTAGATTATAGCCGTCAATTCAAATTTCCTGTAAAGAATGTAAGCATTAGTGCAGGAAAACCTTTTTGAAAAATTAAAAAGCAATATAAGTTTACAAAATACTATATGATGTTACCCAGAGTCGGATTTAAAATGAATATACAAATATGGTCACAGAGAGAAGAACTAATGCACTGTCTATTAATACTTCATGTCCGTACCAATAATGTCGAGAATTGCGTGCACAATCGTGAAGAAAACCACTGTTGTTCCACGTTATAAATAACCCAATGTTTTTACTACACAGATGAATAAATGTGTAAAGCCGAACGAAGGGTCTGCATGTTAGTGTTTGCTTTCATGATGAATGTACGTTCCGGCAAGGTTTCTTAGCCTACAGCGTCCTTAAATTTGTGACGTCCGAACGTCCCACTCTGTCTATCAGAATACCTTCTTCTTCTTCTTCTTCTGCGGACGCCACAATCCATGATGAACCTTGGCCTCTTTTACGACTGCCCTCCATTGGTCCCAATCCTGTGACTTTTCGTCTCCATTTACCAACGTCCATTGTCTTCAGATATTCTTAAACTGAATCCAGACACCTGACAGCAGGCCTGCCTACTCGTCTATTACCCTCTGGTGTATGTACAGTTGACTTCCTGCACTCTAAAAAAGTGTCCCAGCCACCTCAACCATCCTACTTTAATCACTTTCAATGTAATTTATAAAGTTCGTGGTTATACCTTGCTCTGCAAATACCATTTTTCCTTAATTGGGCAATAAATGTTTCTTAATAACCTTCTTTAAAATATTTGGAGATTTTTCCATCTTTCCTTGTGAGGGGCCAGCTTTCACTTCCATAGGTAAGTACAGGACTTAAGTGTCTTATATTTAGTGTATTTTGTCTGTCTCCCTAAATATTGTGAGCTTAATTATTTCTTTAGACCAAAAGTAGCTCAATTTTTCATTACAATTCTCTCTTTTATTGCAATAGTAATATTATTATCTTCTGTTAGAATAGATAAAAGATATTTGAATTCTCTCACCCTTTCAAATTCCTGGTCATCCACTTTAAGCATTCTTGAATTTGTTGGTACCTTTTTGTTATTTCCGTGTTTTTTGTATGTTGATTGTAAGTCCTATTTCATTCGCTGCTCTACTCAAGAAAATAATTGCTTCTTTCAATACACCTCTGTTTCTCCCCACTAAAACAACATCGTCTACATGTCTCAGAATATCTTCTGATTGAAAAATAATTAGACTTCCTGAAACCCATTTACTGAAGCATTTTAAATTTCACTTCAACTTAAAATGGACTGTGATATATTGAAAGTATAGGACTTATTAGAATACTAGCGTAAGTCCAATATCACAAATGTCCTCAACGCTTTCGAGCCGAAGTTAGTCTGAATAACATTTAAGAATTCAATCCGTACCGCGAAAAAACACACAACCCTTGCCGTTACAAAGGCCAAAAGGAAATAATCCCTATTTACCTGAGAATCATTCAAAACCCATAAATTTAAAATTCAGAGTCAATGATTGTTAAATCAGTTGGTACATGCAGTTGACATTAAGCTTTAAAGGGTTCTTATAAGATTCCTAGGCCTTAGCTTTTATTCCGTCTTCGAGCTTTTATTTGTTGAATCAGTCTTCCAAGCCACGAACCAGAGCAATATCTCAGACGTCTTATTCTGTGGTTTCTCAGATGAACGTTTTTGTCCTAGTTGCCTTCAAGGACCGAGCGATATAATGACGTCACAGCGCACTAACATACAACGCCAGCCCTTGTACACTTTCTTTCACTCGAATAACGCCACTGGGTGTGCAGGATAATGAGACAATGCGTTTTTGGGAGGAATTTATTTCGAAATTCAACTGAAACAACACACACGTAGTGTTGCTAGGTCCAGTCGACCCCACCAAAATGTGACACAAAAATGATGCATTGGATTATGATAATCGGACTTCATGTATCGGATTTGAAAACCACGCTTGTAATGTGGGACAGATTATCGTTTATCTGATACAAGGTCGCTTAATATGCAACGAAGCAAACAAAACAATTTTTGTTGTTGAAGATCACTGTCTTCTGGGTTGTTATGCCGTGTGGACTAGTAGAAGTTTACCAACGGTTAACAGGTGTCTGCTCCCTCAGTCAACTAAGCGACCGCAGTCTGAAACGTCGGTAAACGTCTATCAGACTATACAGCTGGTTTTTATATATATATAAGTGTTCTGTCTGACGACAGGTCCATATGGTGTGAATGGGGTAATTGTTGGGATGCCACGGAGAAACCGGGGAAGCCCCCGGAGGAAAACTCCGTGTTGCCTAGACCACGGCCTTGCCCAACACAAGTTATAAATTCGGGCACCGCCGGGAATCGAACCCGAGAGCCCAGGATTACAAGGCCAGCGTTCTAACCGCTAGACCACCGTGGTGTTCTATACAGCGTATCATCCCATAAAACAGCCATGTTCATACTCACCGCCATAAGAACCTTAAATCCAAACTCTATGGTAGATTTATTAAATCACTCAATACATTCTGACGTCTCTTCTGAATGACTCCGTTCTCACTGTGCCTGCAAATTAATTGTCATGTCCGTTTGTTTATCATTTTCAATCAATTCTCTGTCTCTACGGGTCAACCGGCTTTGAGTTCAATACAAAATTATCAAAACCGGACACAAAACCCAAATAAATTAAACTACTGATGCCGGTTCTCTGGGTTGTAAAGCCACGTGGACTTGAATGTAGATACCAACGTTTCGGAGAAACATAATGTCTACATCTTCAGTGCTGAAGATGCTTCCGCCTTCCTCGAAGTCACACACGGAATTACAACCCAGAAGACCAATATGGACATCTTCACAGCCGTGAGTAACTTAAATTTGATACAAATTATAAATGCGGAATTATTCCATTATTTCCTCTTTATTAAGTCCAAATACACAAAATATACTTGGCATTCCCCTCAGTGTGCACTGTTTACCTGGTAAAATCATAAGGGATAGCATGAAACACGCCTATCGAAACATGAACGAACTCACAATTTTGTTATGAAACTTTCAATGAAAGAGGTCATTAGGAAGAACCTAGATGAGATGATGGAAACAACTAAATGGACCAAAATAAAATAGACTGTGAAGATATGAATTGAATCCATTGGCGAGCTTTGGTGCTCATCGCGGTGAACAAAAAATGTCCAGTAGCAGGGAATTTCCTCATAATTTTGATAAATACCTTGAAGAAGATCCTATAGAAGGGTGGAGAAATATTTGTAGTCGGGAAGTGGGCGTCAGGGATATTTATAAGAGACCGCGAGCCAAAGGGCCCCGCGAGAAGTTTAGTATTGCAGAAACTGTTACAGAGTTATTAATTATTTTACGTGACAAACCATAAGTTGTAGATGTCAAAATATATAAAAATGTCATTATTAGTAATTAATACGGACATGGTACATTAAACTCTGGTGCCATTATAAATTTCACTTATTTTCTCTTTTAATTATTCGTGTTTTTTTCGTCTAATCACAATTTTATATAAATAAAATTATACATAAGATATTAATATATCATTTACATATTTGGTACATCTTTTTACTACATGTTTCGGTTACATTGAACCATCTTCAGGTGTAAAGTTAAAAGTTAAAAATTATAATCTTATAAACTAAAACTTAATTACTGTTGTTGTGTAACTTCTGCTGATGTTTACATCCAAATTCATTGGAGTGAGGGTATATTTTGAAGTGATAGTGGTTTAACATTGGCCTGTAACGTAAATAATTTAAAATATTTTATTTTCTCGTATCAAATTGTAGGAAGGCCTATAAAAGGCCTTGCTGTTTACAAATCCTAAAACGTCTAAGGCCAGACTCATTTTCTTCACGGGACGCATCGGGCCTGCGTTTCATATTTTATTCACATAGTCTTATAGTATGGTGATAGATTGTTTGTTATTTATTCAATTATTTTGTACAGAAAGTCTTATCCTGCGTTTTTAGGCGATAAGATTTCATTACAATATGTTCAAGGTCATACAAGCATTTAAATATTTTGACCGCAGTAAATAATAAAATACTTTACTTAAATTCCGGTCAATGGCGAATTACTCTCGTACATTAAATCGCGAAGTTCAGTAAAACATCTGGATCAGACCTCGGTCTTCCCGTTGCGTGATATTCAGTGCAATGTGTGGTTCAGGGGCATTGATATCGTGGACACAGTGTACGAAACATTAACAAAAACATATTTCCTTCCGTATCAACGATTCCTCTGACAGGAGACGTAGAGAACATGAAGATGCTGTTCCAACTCACTTGACGACAGAATCCAGTTGAGAAGACGTCTTAGTGTCAGTACAGTCTCCAGACTTTTCATTAAGTGACATATGTTTTTCTTCCTAGAATGGCATATTTTGTAATTTTGTGTTTTCTGACAGTGATCTTATGGCAATTCTATGTAGTGGCAGGATGGAATATCCAGGAGTCGCTGAAGAATCTTTTAGAAACATTGGAGAATTCTGATGAATACGACATCGTCTTTCCCTTGGTGATGACTCCCGAAACAAATAATTTAGTGCCACGAGTGAAGAGAAACATCGACGGCGGCGAAGTCCAACCAGAATATACTACACATTTTAAGGGATATGACAGTGATTCTCCGACTTTCAGAAGTGGAAATGACGTAGAAGTGCCAACAGATAATGAAAGTAAAAAAGATGTGATAAGCATCACAAACAGTGCTAAAACGAGTAAAACTGATTCCAATAGGGAACGAGTGTCTTCAAACACGAATAAAAATACATATATAACATTAGAAAAGAGAAATGTTCAGGAGGAAGCCACCATAAGAGTAGAAAATGTACCAAACGACCGAACTACATATTTTGATGAGAAAATTAACGATGAATCTACAGATATGGGAGCAAATTGGAACAAACCAGATGATATAACTACTATATCACTTAAAAACTGGATATTAGAAGTAAAAACCAATCATTTGTTAATCATACAAGATGGTTTGGAAGCTGAATGGGTGACTAAAGGAAACACAGAGTCAGTGGAAACTCACGGAGGCTGCAAACTTCAAATTGGGTTCGTGAGAGGCGACATAAATTCCACTGTCGCCCTCACAACGTGCGACACTTCGACTGAAAACAGCGAAACAGGGGATATGACAGGCTTGATTCAAGTCAACGGGGATTCCTATTTTATACAACCTCTTCTGCTCACTGGGGAGCTAAATCGCCAACACCCCCATCTGGTGTATAAAGCCAAAACAAGTTTGGAGTTGGGAAATGATCAAGATTTTGGGGACAAATGCAAGAGGTCAGGAAGGAACTCAAGCCAACGGACTACGCCGGGGGTCAGGAATGACTCTGGTGGAATAGGTAAGGTTGTTCCTGTCTGCCTGGGAAGGTCTAAAAGGGAATCTTACTGGAGGCACAACATGACAGAGATGAAGTTCTCAAACACGACTGCAAGGGAAAACATTTCTTTTCCGGAGAATGAACCCGATGTACATCCCGTGGGACAACCTGATGAAAGCCTGGAACACACGATCGAACACATTCGGAGGAAATTCGAGCGAGAGGAACAAGTGGGCTACTTTCTTGACAGTGGCCATGAGACAGAAGGTAAGGAACACGGCATCCCGACCAAGTTATGTGGACACTTTCTGTGATTCACTTTAATATTATTCCCCCATACATATCAAGCCTTGCTTCAACAAGGTTTTAAATCGGAATGTACTTTTTTGTTTGTCTAGTTTTTCTGAATTTTATTTAATCGCCTTAACTATACTAAATTAAAAAAACATAATTACGAAACTCCAATAAGTAGGCCTTATCCTTTCAGGCCTGGTTTTCGGAAGATTATGAAAATTTAATGGGTCGGCGCGTGTCTACTATAAATGGACATTATGTATCACATTAGCCCGCTCTCTGGTTCATTATCGCATCATCACTTTAACCATTCATTTGAGACCGGGTAAATGAAGCCACAAAGTATAATAAATTCTTCTTTGGCTGCCAGCCGTGTCGGGTGGTTTAATGGAGAAAACACCTTTTCGAGAACCATCTTCGTCCTCGTCCTCTGGGTACTGAGGACGAGGACGGCTTGTACCCCGACAAGAATCATTATACTCTTGTCGCCGTGAAAGCTTCACATCATACGAAGCTACGAGGCACAGACCCAATCTTGCATCATCTAATCCCAATAACTAGCCTATATTTTTAGTACCCAGACATGTGTTTGTTGGTTGGTTGTTGATAATTTTATAAAATTACCGTTACATCTCTTCAGCATAAGATGTATTCATTGACTCCTACCTATTAATGTTCTCATTAAGAAACTTTCCGATATTTAATGGACATCTGACGAAGGATTGCATTTAGAATATTACATTTGAATTTATATTGATTATACACCTGAAGATGGTTCATTGAAAACCGAAACATGTCGTGAAAAAGATGATGCTCTAATTGTAAATCAAACATTTCGATAGAAAAGAGCATCATTTAATATATTTTAAATATTAAATGTTAATTGTAATAATAATATTTTAATATTTAATAAAATATTTTATTGTGATTAGACGGTTAAAATTAAACAATAATTAAGAAAACAAACTACAGAATTTAATCTAATGTGTATACTTTCCACAGTTTTCACCTAGATACATGAACACGCGTTTAAAATATGTTTTCTTAATTCTCAACTGATTCACTTCTTTATCGGAAACTGATTATTGACGTAAAAACTATAGATTCAGAAGACAATGACATTGTTTAACAAATTGATCACAGAATGAAATATATAGCCTACGATATATATAAAAATATACACGGTGTCCCAAAAAGATGTATATAGAGCAGCAACTTTGATGGCTGCTAGTCAGTTACTTGTTCACCTCTGTCAACTATGTCACGAAGCTAACGGTGGTCATTTTGAACACCTACACAAGATTAGCTAATTCACTAAATACCAATGCTGGCGTATGTAACTGCTTAGTTTGTTAGAATATATTTATATTATTCACTGAATTTGTGTATATGTGTATATTTCTCGGACGTTCTGTACGTGTTGGTTGGCGATAATTTTTAAATCACTATTTCCAGTTATTATAACCTCAAATATTGTGTTTTGGATTTGGAAATCGTATAAGAAACACGATAATCCGGGTATAATGCAAATGTTCGCTGCTTCCTATGTTACTGTCATTCTTGACGGGTAGATTTATAGTAATTTACAAAAAAAAAAAAAGTAAAAATTGACGAACCTCGAAAAGTAAAATGAAATACGTATTGAAAGAAACGATTAAAGAAATAACAAACATCCTTAACAAAAATATGTCAGTTTTTTTCGACACGACCATAATGGCTGCCCAGTTCAAAGTAAATCTGCTGTAATCACATCGAAGAGAAACACGCAGCTTGAAACAGAAGTAAGGATTTACAGAACCTAACAAGACTAAAATTTAACTGGTCATGAGCTGAAGTGACCCGTTTTCTCGGCCCGGATCGGAGCTAATCCGAGTGCTTGAGAGGGAACGTGGGACTGGCCGAAGCACCGGATGGGGATTCGGAAGGAATACAAAATAAATAAATAACAGTTTTACAAATAAAAATGATAATGAAGATTTCTGTCTTCTGGGTTGTCTGTTGCGATGTGTAGTATGGTAGATGTTTACCCTCTTGTCCAAGATTTGGGGTTCTACTATCATCTGTCTTTCAGCACACACTTTCACATGTAATAGGCCGTATCATGTGATCAACTTAAGTCACTGATTGATATATTATTACAAAATCGAGCCTATAAAGTAATAAACTGGTTGTGGACTACAAAATTCGTCACATGAATGTCAATACGACACACGAAGTTCTACTGATCTGTTCAATTCTATTCGAGTGTAATCAATGGATTATTAATCTGGATTAAAATTTATTTAGTTCTGTAAACAGAACAAGAAACAAAATTTCTTGCCCATGCCCAGAGTCTGTTTTGCCTGTGTCCAGATAAGCGCAGGCCACTGGGGTTCAGTGTAAACGCGCCTCCCCGGTGGCTGGAGCTCGCCCTGGCAGTTGACCACACGGTGATCCAATTCCACGGGCGACAGCGAGTACGCCAATACGTCCTCGCCCTCATGAACATCGTAAGTACCATGCCACAGATTACTGCTGTGTTTCTGTAACTCTTTTCTAAAGAACCCTGGGTTTCTGCAACGGAATACTGACGAAAGACAGGCATTTTATTACTTTACTATCACAACAAAAAAGTTATCTTCAAAAACTGCTTCAGTTTTCTATTAAGTGTCACTACACCGGTTTGGGAAACGAAATTATAGACCACTGGGTAGGTATTTTTGCCTGCATTCCAATCACATTCGGTCAGAATGCGTTTTCAGGATGTCTGCAGCGGTATCTTGATGATATTTACTTAGGATACTTAGACGATCCTTTCTTCAGTGCCTTGAGCATCTGAGGGTCTCAAATTTTCGTTGGCTTTGATCTATAAACAGTGGTAGGACTCCTTGGACGAGTGATCGGCCTGTCGCAAGGCCTCTACCTGTACGCAGAACAGCACAACACACAAAAACGCGGACAAACACTCATGCCTTGAGTGGGATTCGAACCCACGGTCCCAGTGACCAAGCGGCACAAAGTCCACGCGGCCACTGTGACGGTCATTTTGATGATAATAATTGAAATTACTACAGAATGACACACACTTCTTCCAGTACATTTTGAAATTTCTTACCCGTGGTGGGAACAGTAACGTGTTGTCAGGTCAGTTACAAAAATTTAACTGTACTGCACATGATGTAATCATTTACCATAACGTTTAGTTTTAATTAATACTTTGGTGGATGATCATTGAAGAGAGGTAAATTTTATGTATTTAAGTTTTTTTTTAATATTTATCCAAATTAGAAGATCGCCGGCTTTGGTGTTGTGGGTGTTGGACCTGAAGGTTCTGGTACCAGGGAGTTAGTTAAGTTAAGAGATCAGTTCATGCTATTTCTTTTCGCAAGTATTTCAGACGAGCTCAAAATCTTACGTGCTCTTATGTGAAGTCGTTGTCAAAATTGTCAATCTAAACGAAAAATGAAATGGTTCCACAGATTTTTGTGAATCTCTCCAATGTTAAACTTAATTAAAATCTATTTATCGACATGCGTACGGTAAAAGGTGGTAACGCTCTGCGTCACATTATCTGAGCAAGAACTCAACTTATATTTGCCACCAAGGTTTTCGCCCACTCTTCATTAAATTAGGACTCGGAGTAAATTAGTTTTCATTATTTATCTCTGAGAGACATAAAATGTAAGTATCAATAAATATACAGTGTATTTATTTTCCTAAACCCCTATGATGGAACGCTGGCCCAAAACTAGTAGTATATAAAGAAGATAAAATACAAAGCAAGACCAATAACAGATTAACACGAAAACAAATAGAGCTAGAAATATTTTAATCATCAAAGATAAATCACAAAATGAAAGTAAATGCGATGACAGTTATCTCCTATTTTGATTGGAGTTTGTTACCAAACTTAGGAAACAGTTCTACGAGCATCGTTAATTACAATGGCATCTACAAAGCACGTTGATTGCAACCCTATTACGTTTCATATAGTCCGACATCTGTCATTAAAGGTGATAATGGTGGTGTGTACAAAAATCACACAAAGTGAGCTATCATATTGCTCAGTTCGGTAAAATTACCGATTACCGAAAATTTCTACCCTGAATAGAACTCAGTGTGTACTGCCTGGTGATAATCACTTTTAAGTTTATCAAAAAAGTTCTGAAACCAAATTCTACATTTTCGCGAAAAATAGAGGACATGTGTTGGAGTTAATTAAAGGGATTAAAATCACAAGGGTTTGCTACGCTACAACTTTTTTATAAGTTGTATTCAGCTCTTTTACAGTGTCCTCTGCTCGTTTATTTTGTTACATTATTATCATCATCATTAGCACTACAGCCCGATGCGGGCCTAGGCTTTCCAAATAAATTTCTTTCTTCTTGGCTACTATCCACCAATTCTTAACTCCTATTTATTTTCTTACATTGTGTCACAAAATAAATTACTTTAATAAAATAACGAACTAAATTGTCCTCCGGGGAGTGAACGAATAACGTAGAACAGTGGTATTCAACTTTTTGTTCTTATTTATAACTCGTCTTATCACACAGGAACATATATATCACGAACCCAGGACTCCTAATTTAAGACAAGAACGCAGATGTAGAGAACAGGATACTTAGAAGAATATTTAGATTTTATAATTTATGCTCTTTAACACTTAATATCGCCACGGTGGTCTAGCGGTTAGACCGCTGGTTGGCCTTGTAATCCTGGGGTCTCGGGTTCGATTCCCGGCGTGCCCGAATTTATAACTTGTGCTGGGCGAGGCCGTGGTCTAGGCAACACGGAGTTTTCCTCCGGGGGCTTCCCCGGTTTCTCCGTGGCATCCCAACAATTACTCCATTCACACACAGAAGAAGGCAATGGCAAACCACTTCTGGATCATCTGCCAAGGACGTATATGAACAGGTCCCAGCCCGAGAAAAGGATGGAAGGATCCTGTTCATATGGACCTGTCGTCAGACAGAACACTAAAAAAAATAAAAAATAAACCCCCTGATATAATTTATCTTCAACTTTGTACCCTCAATCTTAAAACTTGTACCCCCAAATTTGTTGGTGTATAATTCAAGTTATACATAGTATATAATCTACATCTGAAATAAATCAAATAAATTACATTGCTGATTATTCAGTGTTTATCATAAAATATATATATATTTTAAAATTTCACGTACCCCCCTAAAATGTCTTCGCGTACCCCCGGGGGTACGCGTACCCCAGGTTGAATACCACTGACGTAGAAGACTGAAATTAAAACCTACATTAAAATTTATATTAAATGTATATCGGACTTCCCGTCAGAACTGCGAAGGTCTCCACTGTGTTGCTGGGGCATCCAGGAACTAACTATCGATCCTCTAAACAGAACTCACCCCTGCCCTCTGTATTACGTGCGCTCCTCGAACCTCCAGGAGCTATCAATTTCACGGCGCTCCGAATCCGCTGCCGTTCCTGGCACCGCACATTCCTGTAAGCCCCTCAGTCAGCCCTCGGGTATCGCATAGTCAGTCCGGGCGCAACAACACGACCAAACTCTGCTCCTAGGCTTACAACCGAGGTTTTCAGTCTTTGGTACATGCGGTCCTTGCATAGAGCCCATTTAATGGAAAGCTAGATCCATCAGTCCGCCCGCCTGTCCGAACTGCTCAAAGGATCAGATTTGGCGTTACACCTATTACACCATATTTAATGAAATTACCTTCATGTTAATCCCTTCGGTACTTACAGTCTCTGCATTACATGAAACACAAATGGAACCTCATGAAAGTTATCAGACACAACTCACTGTTCTGAAAATTTGTAGCCTACATAATGCATCATATTCACGCTTATAAATTTATTTAAAACAATTCAATGACGATTATTTAACGAAAGAAAAAATTGTGTATATTTACACTGTACTTCTATATTTAAAAGTTCTGTCAACATCAGATATTTATCAGCAAAAAATAACCACAAAAACATATAATCTACATCTGAAATAAATCAAATAAATTACATTGCTGATTATTCAGTGTTTATCATAAAATATATATATATTTTAAAATTTCACGTACCCCCCTAAAATGTCTTCGCGTACCCCCGGGGGTACGCGTACCCCAGGTTGAATACCACTGACGTAGAAGACTGAAATTAAAACCTACATTAAAATTTATATTAAATGTATATCGGACTTCCCGTCAGAACTGCGAAGGTCTCCACTGTGTTGCTGGGGCATCCAGGAACTAACTATCGATCCTCTAAACAGAACTCACCCCTGCCCTCTGTATTACGTGCGCTCCTCGAACCTCCAGGAGCTATCAATTTCACGGCGCTCCGAATCCGCTGCCGTTCCTGGCAACTGACGCGCACCGCACATTCCTGTAAGCCCCTCAGTCAGCCCTCGGGTATCGCATAGTCAGTCCGGGCGCAACAACACGACCAAACTCTGCTCCTAGGCTTACAACCGAGGTTTTCAGTCTTTGGTACATGCGGTCCTTGCATAGAGCCCATTTAATGGAAAGCTAGATCCATCAGTCCGCCCGCCTGTCCGAACTGCTCAAAGGATCAGATTTGGCGTTACACCTATTACACCATATTTAATGAAATTACCTTCATGTTAATCCCTTCGGTACTTACAGTCTCTGCATTACATGAAACACAAATGGAACCTCATGAAAGTTATCAGACACAACTCACTGTTCTGAAAATTTGTAGCCTACATAATGCATCATATTCACGCATATAAATTTGTTTAAAACATTTAAATGACGATTAATTAACGAAAGAAAAAAGTGTGTACATTTACACTGTACTTCTATATTTAAAAGTTCTGTCAACATCAGATATTTATCAGCAAAAAATAAAAACAAAAACAAAGGAGATACTAAAAATAGCAACAAATTCAAAAAATAATTCTGCTGTTGTTTTGTATGGGTGCGAAACATGGTCTCTCACTCAGTGGGAGGAACACAGATTGCAGGTGTTTGAGAATAGGGTGTTGAGGAGGATATTTGGGCCTAGGGTAGAAGACGATGGGACATGGAGAAAACTACATAATGACGAACTTAAAAATTTGTACTAATTCCCCAGTATTGTCAAGGTGATAGTCGAGAAGAATGAGATGGGCGGGGTATGTAGCGCGCATGGATGGGACAAGAGGTG